CAAATTGAAGAGAGGCAAATGGAGGAAAAAACAATTGACAGGCCGCTCTTGTCATGACAAGAAGTGACAAGGACCCACCTAAGAGAGTGGGAATGGGAAAGATGAGAAGTAGATACACTTAATTTCAAGTATACAACAGAGTCAGTAGTTGAATAGATGGAGGAGATGAGGGGGAGGGAGGAGTCAGGGTGACTCCCAGCTTTCTGGCTTGGAAACCTGGTAAGAGGGAATGCTTTTTACTGAGTCACAGAAGGAGGAGCAGGGGGACAGGTGGAAGGATGTAATCCAGTACCAAGATGTACGCCCTGATCTGCGTGCACGTGCACATGCACGCACACACACACACACACACACACAAAATGGCCAGAGGAGAATGACAAGAAGAACTCAAGATAGGAAAGGGCCTGGCTGCAGAAAGAAGGGGCTGCGTCAGTGAGACACTGTCTCTCTAGGATGCTAGAAATGGGCCCCCAGGATATTTTCTCTGCCCATATGAAAGGCAGGGCCAAGCCTGCTGCAGCCTGACTCTGTGGACCACAGCTGGAAAAAAGGAGGCCAAGGCCGGGCCAAAAAAGGGTGTCATTATCAATGAGCCCATCCATGGAACCACTGCTGCCAAAGGGAGAGAGCTGAGATTGACGCCTGGGGATGTAGAGCTATGGGACCGGAAACTGGAACGAAACCAATCCATCAGGGCCAGGGCACAGGAAACAATGAGGAGGTGAGCAGAGCCGGACTAGGCAGAGGTGTTGCAGAACCTGAATTATTCAGCCAGAATTCCCTGTTCTTGTGGCTGGGACATTCTGCTGGACTGAGGTGGGGCCTCAAAGAGGCTGGAACGAACCAGAAAGCTAGGACACAAATCATGGCCCTCCATGCTGAAGGATCCGCCATGTTGACCATTGGCCAGTTTCTGTGATCACCATGTAAGAGATCTTGGTGGTCCCCAAAGATCAAGACCTTGACACCACGACCTTTCTGATCCTTTATATAATGTGAGTATTTCAACTCCCTAGTGAGACGTTGGCCATAATACACACTGTTCGTCAAATCAATGAACCATTCATTCACCAAATACTTATTAATGCATTGCGATTACTGTTGGAGATACATTGTTAAATAATGTAGACACTGAAATGTAAAACTGACTAATTCCATCTCTCTGATCCTGGGCAAGTCATTTTACCTGGGAACATTAATTTACCTCCTAGGATATTTCTGAGACCCTTCCAACTCATCCATCCTAAGGCTTCCTTACATTATTCATTAAATATGTGCATACGGAGCACATACTTTGCATACAAGTATGTTATTTTCCTGATTCAAATAAAAACATATATGACAAAGAGCTATTTCCTGGTTTTAGGATTGATATGAAAAATCTTACAAATATATCATCACTAAGATAGAATTTTATATTTATCAAAAAGAATAAAATTATAAGACATAGAGACTATGTCAGAAAATTAACCATGTTATAATCAACATGTGTTAGAATTTGGTTTAAGTCCACCAAGACATGGTATGAATTTGGTTTAAAATCAACAGGACATTCAACAGGCACATGAAAAGATGCTCAACATCACTAATTATTAGAGAAATGCAAATCAAAAGTACAATGAGGTATCACCTCACACCGGTCAAAATAGCCATCATTAAAATGTCTACAAATAATAAATGCTGGAGAGGGTGTGGAGAAAAGGAACCCTCTTACACTGTTGGTGGGAATATAAATTTGTACAACCACTATGGAAAACAGTATGGAGGTTCCTTAAATAACAAAAAATAGAGTTACCATATGATCCAGAAATCCCACTCCTGGGCATGTATCCGGAAAAGATGAAAACTCTAACTGGAAAAGAAATAAGCACCCCAATGTTCACAGCAGAACTATTTTCAATAGCTAAGACGTGGAAGCAACCTAAATGTCTATTGACAGATGAATGAATAAAGAAGATGTGGTATACAGACACACAAACACACACACACACACACACACACACACACACACACATGCATGCACAATGGAATACTACTCAGCCATAAAGAATGAAATAATGCCATTTGCTGCAACATGGATGGACCTAGAGATTACCATACTAAGTGAGTAAGTCAGAGAAAGACAAATATCGTATGATATCACTTATACATGGAATCTAAACTGTGATACAAATGAACTTATTTATAAAACAGAAACAGACTCACAGACATAGAAAACAAACTTATGGTTACCAAAGGGGAAAGGCAGGGGCAGGGTTGTGGAAGGGATAAATTAAGGAGTTTGGGATTAGTAGATACAAACTACTATATATAAAATAACAAGGACCTACTTATAGCACAGGGAACTATATTCCAATATCTTGGAATAAACCTTAACAGAAAAGAATATGAAAGAATATATATAACTGAATCACTTTGCTGTACACCAGAAACTAACACAACATTGTAAATCCACTATACTCCAATAATAATCTAAAAATAAATAAAATCAACAGGTCTAGATTTTTGAAGAGACAATTACAAAGATAACTATCACACAATGTGGAAAGTGCTGTAATGGCAGAGCCAAATAATAAAGTCCGTTATCAGAAACGTGATTGACTCAGCAGTTTCCATTTCCTTCTTCTCAACCTCCTCAACTCAGAGACGCCTGCTCTCAGAAACTAAATCACGAGTGTGAACGGGGTTCCCCCAAGAAGTAAATGAGGGAATTCAATTCAGGGTATCGACTGAGGGCTGGGGCAGAGGGGGTGGACGTTGAGGAGGAGGCATTGTCTGTGACCTGGAGTTTCCAGTGAAGCAAATGATAGACTCCATATTCTGGAATTGACAGTAACAAAGGAAGACAGCTGGATGCTACAGCCCCAGTGAAACCTGCCATTGCCCCAAATCTTGCCTTTGCTGCACCTCCCTCGGACCAGCATTAGCAATCATAGGGATGGGATGGAAACACAGCCCATGTGTTTTAAGAGAAGTAACTCTACGGACACAGGAAGGACAGAATTCCTCAGGTGTGGTCTCACTCTGCTTATGTCTTATCTCCTCCATTGTTCTAACTCCTTTTGGGGGAATTCAAAGCCCTCTTGGTTTGGTCCTAATGCAGCTTCTTCATCCATATTTGCCCCTCCACCGTGCAGCTACTCTGAAGGACTCACTCCTCCCTCTGACCCAGCAATTTCACACCTGTGACTCTGCATTAGCAGGCCAGGCCATCTACTGCCACACCATCTATATATGTTCAAATCCTGTGTCTCTTTCAAGACCCAATCAAAATTCCATCCCTTCCGTGACGCCTTTCCCTATCCTCCCAAGGGAGACCATGACTCCCTCTTCCTCACATTATGAGCTTTCATTTATTTTTCTCCTGAGAATCTTAGCAGTTTCTGTTAAGTGCTGTGGTTATCTGTTTATACTCTACCTGCTCCTACTAGACTGGGGGCACCTAGAGGATAAAGATCATTAGAAAGGATAAACCATAATTCAAAAGAATATATATATATATATATATGTGTGTGTGTATAACTGAATCACTTTGCTGTACAGCAGAAATTAACACAACATTGTAAATCAACTATACATCAATAACATTTTTTAAAAGATCACTAGAAAGAACTAAATCTATTTCTCAATGTAAAATGTGATTTATGCCCACTAATTCTGTAATAATAAAGGATGGAAAAGAAAATATATACATCTGGCTAAGAAAGTGGACTCTTTTACACCACTGAAATTATGAGTTGAAAAGAGTAGGAAAGGAACACTGCTCCGAATTTGGCATTACTTATGTAAATATCTTACAGGTTCCTCAAAATAGTTCAGAGAAATGGAAATCAAGACTTCATTTTAGCAAAGGCCATTCGAAAGAAACCTTAGTATATTTATCCAAAAATTCTTTCAAATTAAACATCTGCCAACAACCTACCTTCCAACTGGTGGTGTTGGAAATGTCTTAAGACAGAATGTGTTCATAAATCTGTGGGCTGACCAGGAAGGTAATACATTCTTACTCCAAAAAAAAAAAAAAAAGAGAAAAATTCCAGAAAAAAAAGGAAAACAAAATTGCCCATTCATCCGTCACACAGCGTTAAGTACTAATGATGCTTTGGGCATTTATTGCCAATGTTTTTCATTTTTTCCATGCCTAGACCATATATCTGTGTGTGTGTATACACACACACAATTTATGGTTACAATATTTATCGTATATGTGTATATACACATATATATTTGTATAATTCTTCATCTTATTCAGTTGGTATAATTTTTATCTTACTTTTTGACAACTGATGTTACGATTATATTTATGCTACTTCATTTAGTTTAAGGGCTTAATAACAAACATTCCAGTGGATATATCATAACTGAGTTTATCATTCCCTGATAGAGGAAAATTTAGGTTTCCTTATTTAGAGTTATAAATGTTGCTGGGTCAGCACCTTCCTGCCTGAAGATGCCTCCACATTTGGGCCTGTTTCTTTAGAACTCTTTCCTAGAAATGCGATCTCTAGGTTAGTGGGTATAAATATGTTTAGGCTTCTGACATATTAACACCCGCATCTAATGCCTCTTTATGATTTTCAACTAGTGTTTAACCCAGTGCCCCTGGTCACTCGGTGACTGATGACTGGACACATGACGGAAACATGACCTCATGCTTCCTAGTCCCCTAGCGTGGATTCCTTGATTCAGACCCTCGCATCCAAGGGAAGCTTGTGCCACCCTCCAGGGCAGTATCACACCTGCCCTATCCTTGTGGTTAGAGCAGCTGGGGAAACGCAGCAGTTTCAGCTCTGTGGAAAGGTCAGAGCTGGAGAAGTCATGAGGGGAAGGGACCGGCTGAGAATAGCCCTGGGTGGACACACACCCCTCTGCCGCCGCTCACAGGGCAAACCATTTCCTCGCATGAAACCAGAACAAGTCATGTGTTGCGGGCTGAGACTCGTAGCTGACAGCTGCTATTCTTGGATATCCTGAGCCCCTGTGGTTGCCACGGACCCTGAGTTATGAAACCGTGTGAAAGCATCACGACGCTTAAAAATTTCCTTCCTCACTCCCAGATTCCACTTCCCCATCCATCAGGGCTGCCTATAAAGAGCTGGGGAGATGGCCTCTCACTAAAGAAGGACGCAGGCAGCAGCGAGCACCCAGTCCCACACTCAAGGCCACACTCTGTCTGCGCAGCATCATGGAGGTGCCCGCTGCTGCCCTCGCCGTCCTCCTCTGCCCCACGGCCCTCTGCAGCCAGGTCTTCTCGGCACCATGTGAGTCTGTGCAGTAGTTGCAGGGGTCCCCACACCAAACTTTACTTGGCCTTGAGAGCCCCCAAGAGAAAATAAAGATCTTCTTAAAGGGTTGTGAAACATTTTGGCCTTTCTCTTCAAGATTTTAATTTTTATCTTTATAAAGGGGTCCTCCGATCTGGAGCCAGGGTTGGGGAGTTACAGTCCCATTTTACAGATGGTAAAATGGGGACCTAAACGAAAGAGTTGGCAAGAGGCAGAATTCAAATCTGGTTACCGCCCCATGGTGTCAGTCTTCCAGTAACTCACGCTAAGTCCCCCCAAGAGTTTGTCCCTTGGATGTCTCATGAGAGCTGTCCAAGGTTTTTCTTTTGCTGGGGTGTGACTTCTTGAACCAGAAACAATTTCCTGGAGGGAGATGCGATAAGAACAGTCTGTTTGGATGTCTGGAGCACACAGAGAAAGAGAGAGCCCACAGTGAAGAGTCAAAAATAAAGAAGGATGCAGACAGAAACAAGGACAGAGACAGGGATATTTCTAGGGAAAAATGCCCAGCGCCTTCCAGTGACCTGTCTCCCAGTCTGTGCCCTAAGCCAGGCTGTCTCTCTCCTTCCGAGTCTTCCTCACCCTGTTCTGAACTATGACTCAGCCTCATTCTGTCCCTTCCTCCACAGTTGAGGTTGACACCCTAACGGCCTGCTGCTTCTCCTATACTGCCTGGCAGCTTCCTCGCGAATTCGTAGCTGACAGTTTTGAGACCAGCAGCCAGTGCTCCAAGCCCGGTGTCATGTGAGTGCCAGTCTTCCCGCCCACCTCTGGGGAGATGGGATGTTGGATGGGAGTCAGCACCCAAGGGCACAGACAGGCCAGGGGCGCCATCCTGGCAAGCCCAGCCCTCCGGGGCCTATCAAGTATACAGGACCCAGGTCTCTGAGCTGTGACCTGACCCGGCCAGGCTTGCAGAGTCAGGGGGTGCTAGGCCAGCCCAGAGGGAGAGAGGGGAAGAAGGAGGCTGCATCCTCTGAGGGGCCCCCTGAGTCAGGGAGAGCGTCTCTCTGGACTGAGGTAGGCAGAGGGTCCCCGAGGGAGTGGCGGGCCCTGGGCCTCCCAGGAGAGAGGGGTGGAGGGGCCACAGGGAGCCCAGGATCCCCCTGCTGGATTCCTCAGTGTGTAATTCTTTCGTCCTTCTCCAAAGCTTCCAAACCAAAAGAGGCCGGCAGCTCTGTGCCAACCCCAGTGAGGACTGGGTCCAGGAATACATCACTGACCTGGAGCCGAATGCCTGAGTGGCCTGGGAGTTTTGAGGAACCCAGTGACCTCAGTGGCCCGACTGGGCAGCAGGGGTCTGAGCCTTGGAAACACCCCTGTCACCTCCACAGCTACCTCTCCTGTGTGCTGCTTGTTTCCAAACAGCAACACTCCGGGACTCGCTCCTAACTTAGATTGCAACTTATTTATATACAATATTAATATTTAATTTTTGTAATTTAATTTCAGTGTCCCACTGTGTCTGGGACTGTGTGCTCCAAGAGGTCCCAAGACACCTTTTCACAGACCTTCCCCTCCCCATTCACTTGCACTCTGCTGACAATTGACTGTCGGCAGCTTGTTCTACGCAGAGATGGTGCCAATGCCACCAGACTGACAATCGTGTATTGGATGTTTCCGTTCAGTGCTGTGTTCAGCAAAGCGAAATAATACAGATGCTCTTTTGAAAAGTAAACTGGCATTGAGTTTGGTTTTGTTTATCTGGCAAATCAGAATCGCTGGTTGACTTTCTCCTAAAGACAAATATCATGATATTGCTTATATGTGGAATCTAGAAAAATGGTACAAGTGAACCTATTTACAAAACAGAAATTGAGTCACAGATATAGAAAACAAACTTATGCTTACCAATGGGGAAGAGGGGGATAAATTGGGAGATTGAGATTGACATATACACACTACTATATATAAAAGATAACTAATAAGAACCTACTGTATAGCACAGGGAACTCTATTTGGTGCTCTGTAATGTCCTATATGGGAATGGAGTCTAGAAGAGAGTGGATATGTGTATACGTATGGCTGATTCACTTTGCCATACAGCAGAAACTAACACAACATTGTAAATCACTATACTCCAATAAAAAATGTAATTAAAAAAAAGAATCACAGGTTGAAAGGAATAGTAGGTTAAAGTATAGGAAGATGGGAAATGGAGGAAAATTGGGAGAGATGGAAGGGGGCTACCACAGAGCTACTCTGCTTTACACTTGTGAATGAAAAATGTTGCCTGCTGTATCAGTAAACAAAGAATGTTGCAGCCATCAAGCCATCACCTTACAGCCGCCCCCCTCCGGAGGTACGCCCTGAGGGAATTCAGGATAGAAACAAGTTGCCCACCATCTAGCAGTCAGCTGCTGCTGCCACCCTCAATGGTGCATCCTGAGGAAATTCAGGATGAGAAAACACAAGGTACTGGCCCCAGATAGCTGAGGTTCATATCAAAAGAATGATTTCAGTGAGCCCAGTCTCCTGCATCTTCCCATACATACAAAAGCACTAAATTCCTTAACCTGAGACAGCTGGTTTTCTTTAATTAACAGTAATCTTTTGATGTTCCGACTACCTGGTCTTTGTTGCAAAAACTCCTATATATCCCGGCTCCCCTCTTGCCTCTTCAGAGCAGTCCCTCAGAGTTATCTGAGGTGCTGTGTCCTGGGCTTAAGCGTTCAGTTTTGTCTATCAATAAAACTTAACTCTTAACTTTTAGGTTGTGCACTTTTTTCAGTCAACACTCTGGAGCCACATTTCCAGAACATTTAAATTACGACTATTTTATGAATCAAATCATAATGTACATGAATGGATACCATTAAGAAGAGTATTCATAATACATATTTATGATAAATCAAACTTTCTGAATAACAGTTACTAACATATTAGAGACTTACTCCAGGTTGAGTGCTTTTTCTGCCGTGTTCATTTGCTCCTCACAATGACCTAGTATAGTTTAAGTACTATTAATATTTTCATTTGACAGAAGAGTAAACTGGGGCTGGGGCTCAGAGAGGTTAAGCAAATTGGCCAAGATCACACAGCAAGTAAGCGGCACAACTGAGTTCCAAAACTAGATTTTGATGTAACTACAGACTTTGCTCTTAACCAGTAACCAAGTTATTTCCCAAAATGTAATCCACCTGTACTCAAATTACAAGCAATGATTGTTTAATCCACTCACGTCAGAATTTTTAGGTGTGGACCTGGGAATTGATATTTCTACCAAGCTTCAGGTGTTCCACATGCATGTTAACAGCTGAGAACCACTGAAATAGTCAATAGAGTTCACTGCTCTTTTCCAAATGCAGTGCACATCTGCATATGGTAACAGGTATATTGTACATTATTTTCCTAGAATCCATGCTCCACAAAATACATGGCTAATGTTAGAGAAGGAAAAGATAACCAGCCTACATGTGGAGCAGGATTCTGTTTATAGGTTTACTGTGACAACTCAGTTATTTAATAGATAGGTTGCCTGAGTTATAACTATAAGAAATGTACACTGAGCTCGGGTCCTTCCGGCAGAAGGAGGAGAAATGCTAAAGACTTGTGTGAAAACCAAACATGTATTAATTTTTATGACCCACAATTGTTTCATGTTGTTTAAAATAATCTAATTTTTGTACCCCAAATTAGTTTAGAATTGTAGTGATGAAACTTTTAGAGTACAATTCAACACTACTGCTAAGCAAACATTAAAATGCACACACTATTGGACCAAGATACCGTTTGCCCTGATTCCATTTCTAGGCATCTGTTTTGTAGCAACACTGCCAGAGGACAGGACTATACATAGACACAAAGATATTCTTTTTTTTTTTTTTTTGCGGTACGCCGGCCTCTCACTGTTGTGGCCTCTCCCGTTGCGGAGCACAGGCTCTGGACGCGCAGGCTCAGCGGCCGTGGCTCAAGGGCCCAGCCGCTCCGCGGCATGTGGGATCTTCCCGGACCGGGGCACGAACCCGTGTCCCCTGCATCGGCAGGCGGACTCTCAACCACTGCGCCACCAGGGAAGCCTTCCTTTTTTTTTTTTTAATCTTTATTGGAGTATAATTGCTTTACAATGTTGTGTTAATTTCTGCTGTATAACAAAGTGAATCAGCTATATGTATACATATATCCCATATTCCCTCCCTCTTGCGTCTCCCTCCTACCCTCCCTATCCCACCCCTCTAGGTGGTCACAAAGCACTGAGCTGATCTCCCTGTGCTATGCAGCTGCTTCCCACTAGCTATCTATTTTACGTTTGGTAGTGTATATATGTCAATGCTACTCTCTCACTTTGTCCCAGCTTCCCCTTCCCCCTCCCCGTGTCTTCAAGTGCATTCTCTATGTCTTTGTCTTTATTCCTGTCCTGCCCATTGGTACATCAGACACAAAGATATTCTTTGCAGCACGGTTTGTAAACAGCAAGCAAATGGGAACAACCATTTAAACCAGTAGAAGATTACATCAGAAGAGAATTGAGATGCCCACCAATGGACTATTCTGTGGTTAGTAAAAAGGATAACACACATCTATACCTATGGAAAGTGTCCATAATATTAGGTGCAAAATGTATATCTGTTTACATCTAGTATATGCATATATACTCTACATATATGCTACAGAACTACATGTATCGAATGACATTATTTTTGCTTTTATTTTAAAAAAACATATATACATATATATTTACAAAGGCACATATTTGGAAAGATACATATCAAATAGCTAACTATGGTTTCTTAGAGGAAATGGGATTTTTATTCTTTTTTCTTTAAAGGAATGGGGACTCTTCCTTTTTATTTTCTGTACTTTTTATGTGATTTAGTTTTCAATGAGCATGTATTGCTCACCTCTCCAGTCTCATCTTACCCACCCTTCGACAGGTGATATTCCATCCATCAAAACTACTTTCTGGTTGAGATTCTGAGTTGACACAAAGAAAAGAGAGCTCAGCTTAGCTCACAGTCTTGATGCCATAATGGCTTTTATATAACAAGGACAATACAAGGAGCAAGTCCTTTCGCCCAAGGCTTTCATATCACCCGCACACGCGCACACACGCACACACACACACAGAGCTCCTCCTAGAAAACATTTTATAATCCCCTTCCTTTACGGGGGCCCCATTCCCCTAACACCATTACCACCCACACCATGACAAGTGCGAAGATTCTATCAGGAGAATGAGAGGAACAAACTTTGTCCCCAAAGAAGCAGTGAGGCTGTCATCACTTCTTCTCTATTGGCTTCCAGCATCTAAGGGACAAACAAAATCTGCTCGTTTACGCTGCACTGCTTCTCAAGGTCCAGCAGCCCAAAGGCTGATGAAAGCTAACCCGTGCCCGATCACTCAACACAAGTGTTGTGAACAAAAAGTGTAAATAGAATAAAGACCCCTGTGAGGGAGCGGGGAGCGTGGGAATTGCACTATTAACCGATGTAGAGGGCATTTCTGAGTCCGAGACTTGACTGAAGTGCTTAGTCAGCCTCTCGGGTTGACCTCCCTGGGGGTTGACCTCCCTGGGGACTGTCCTCTGTGGACACACATGTGTGCCAGCGAGGAGCCCTTTTCGGGAGCTGCCAACTTCTTACCCACGTGAGTTAGGAGCCTGGAGTTTGCCTTAGGTGTTGGGTAGCTAACTTCGGCTGTGCTGCGCTGCATGCGGGATCTTAGTTCCCCCACCAGGGATCGAACCCGTGCCCCTTGCATGGGGAGAGTAGAGTCCTAACCACTGGACCGCCAGGGAAGTCCTGCAAATAATGCCCATCTAATGACAGCAGGCTTCTGATCTATTCCATGAGCTCAATAACCCAAAAGGGAGAGCTTGCCTGGTCATATACCTTGCATTTTACCTGGTGTTGGGAATGTGTTTCCTAGCATGGGCCTCAATACTACAGTCACCCCTACACCCCTACCTCTAGCCACGTGGCGGGAGAGCGCTGCCTCCATTCCGGCCCCTGCAGAGATGGAGCAACACGCAAAAGTGATGAATATTTGATGCCCAAAGCCACGCCTTCCCTGCGCCTTTACAAGGAGCTGACTGTCCACTTCAAATAAGGAAGACAAATATTTCACAGGAGAGGGTGGAGAGAGGGACTTAGGACCCATAGTCAGAGCTCAGGATTCTCTCCTGTTAAGTCTCTCACCTCCCTGCCTCTATTCACATTAACTTTAGACTGAAGTCGAAGTATCTGCATTTACAGCCCTTAGAGACTCCAGATTACTGACAACAGTTGACAGACTGGAAAGGCCTTTCTTAGCAAAGCTGAATTGTTTCCCTTTTTCAATGTCAGATAAGCCCATTTCAAAGCAGCCTGAGCTCTTTCTTAAAGAATTTTACTTAATGGAAAAAAAAA